CTCCTGAGTAGCTGGGATTACAGGCACGTGCCACCATGCCCAGCTAATTTTTTGTATTTTTAGTAGAGACGGGGTTTCACCATGTTGACCAGGATGGTCTCGATCTCTTGGCCTCGTGATCCACCCGCCTCGGCCTCCCAAAGTGCTGGGATTACAGGCTTGAGCCACCGCGCCTGGCTATTTTATTTTATTTTATTTTATTTTGAGACACGGTCTCACTGTGTCAGCCAGGTTGGAATGCAGTGGTGCAACCTTGGCTCAGTGCAACCTCCGCCTCCCAGGCTCAGCCTCCCAAGTAGCTGGAATTACAGCCATGTGCCACCAAGCCTGGCCAATTTTTAACACCCCTTTTTTCCTTTTTTTTGAGATGGGAGTCTCGCTTTGTCACCCAGGCTGGCGTGCAGTGATGCAATCTCAGTTCACTGCAACCTCCACCTCCCAGATTAAAGTGATTCTCCTGCATCAGCCTCCCAAGTAGCTGGGAGTACAGGCATGTGCCACCATGCCCAGATAATTTTTGTAGTTTTAGTAGAAATGGGGTTTCCTTATGTTGACCAGACTAGTCTTGAACTCCTGACCTCAGGTGATCTGCCCACCTCCATCTCTCAAAGTGCTGAGATTACAGGTATGAGCCACCGCTCCCAGCCAACACCCCTATTTTTGGAATCCTTTTTTGAGATGGAGTCTTACTCTGTCACCAGGCTGGAGTGCAGTGGCGTGATCTTGGTTCACTGCAACCTCCACCTTCCGGGTTCAAATGATTCTCCTGCCTCAGCCTCCTGTATAGCTGGGACTACAGTTGGGCACCACTGCACCCAGCTAATTTTTGTATTTTTAGTAGAGACGGTGTTTCACCTTGTTGGCCAGGATGGTCTCGATCTATTGATCTTATGATCCACCCGCCTTGGCCTCCCAAACTGCTGGGATTACAGGCGGAGCCACCGCTGCTGGCCAGAACCCTCCTATTCTCTAAGGGAGGAAACTAAGTCTCAGAGAGGTTGAGCTACTTGTTTAAAGTTGCACCACTGCTACTGCAGCTGGGAGATCCCAAGGTACTGACCGAGTACAGAGTTCACATTCTTAAAGTCCAGTATGTCCAGCTGTGAATGCCAAAACCCCCATACTCAAAGTCAAGTATCTAGTAGAAGCAGAGTCCTGCAGGGATGACCTCCATAAGCAGCCAAAAGCCAGCTCTCTGGGGCAAATTCTTTTCTTTTCTTTTTTTGAGACCGAGTCTTGCTCTGTCACCCAGGCTGGGGTGCCTTGATGCAATCTCAGCTCACTGCTGCCTACACCTCCCGTGTTCAAGCAATTCTGCCTCAGCCTCTCGAGTAGCTGGGACTAGAGGTACCCGTCACTCTATCAGGGGTGGGGCCAAGAGTGATGAATTCCAATTGCTCATTCTATGAACCACACTTTTGTGTTCTAAACAAGGTTTAGATAGTGGTCGCCCTCATGTACTAAAAATGGTAGCATTCTAAACCCACATGACTATCCAGTATGTTCTAGAGAACACTTCCATCACGGCAGAAAGTTCTATTGGATGGCACTGCTCTAAATGGGAAGATGGACAGCAAAGGGGCAACAAGGGAACCAGGAGACTAGTTGAAACCAGAATCATCTGCCGTGCATACATTTGTTTAATGAAAACAACACAATGTTACTGGGTTCTAGAGAGAGCTTGTTGTAAAAAGCTCTGAATCTGAGACGAGTTATCTCTGCCAAACAGATTAAGGAGCGTTAGAGAGGCATTAAAGACACGGTCGCACCAAACTGAGACTTTTTCCCTTTTCTTTTAGAGCTAGGGCTTTGCCTATCTAACACTCAGTTAATTTTTAATTATTTTTTAGAGACAGGGTCTCCCTATGTTACCCAGGTTGGTCTCAAACTCCTGGCCTCAAGCAATCCTCCCGCCTCAGCCTCCTAAAGTGCTGGGATTAGAGGCCTGAGCCAGCGCTCCCAGCCCTTGACTTAATTAGGAGGATTGAAAACAAATAGAGAAAGGAGTAACTTTTCCTGTCTGCGATTCAGTGTTCTTTAATGGTTTTTGCCGCCGTGACCGTGCTCTTGCGTCCTGCCCCACACATTCAGGCATGGATATGGTTCAGCTTTGCACCCCAGCACTCTACAGAAGAAGGCACTGAGGCATCGAGAACTGAGGTCACCTGTCCACAAACACAGAGCAGGCTAGTGGCAGAGCCAGGACCCAGACGTGTGGAGATGAGACAGATGCATGGCTCCCACCTCACAGAGCTCACATTCCAGGAAGGATGGTGCAGACGTCAAACAATTCTCACTTGATTCATTATTTGGCCACAAACGGTTTGAATGCAAGAAGCTTAGGGGGCTAAAGAGCACATGGCCGGAGGCCCTAGTGCAGCTTACAGGCTTGGGTCGCTCCCCTGAGGAAGAAATGCTTAAGCCAAAGCTAAAATTGCAGTAGGTATTGGCCTGGCAAAGAGAGGAGAAAGAACATTCTAGACTAAAGGATCAGCCTGTGTGAAGGCCGTTAGTAAGAGGACAGCTTGGCACTGTAGGGACAGTAGGTGTCTGCGGTATACATAGGGAGGGGACAGCCAATAGTTGAAGCAGAGGCTGGCAAGAAGACCCGGGGACGACTTCCTGGTCCCCTAGTGATGCTGACGTAGCCTTTTGCTGTGTCTCCACCCAGCTCCAGAATGCAGCTTCTCTTGGCACAGACATGCCCAGGGCTTACCTTTCATTTGTGATGACCCCAAAGTGAGTGTTACGAGGTCCTCTCTCTTTTGGGCTTCCTCCCAGAACACCTGCCCTGATGTGTTCTGTGGACAAATGACTTCTTCCACCAAGGCCAGGAGACTGTTGATGTCCCTCGAGTTCACTGAGTCCCAGCCCGAGGCGGCGGATGGCACCTTGAGGGCTTTGAAGAGGGAGCTGACAATCCTTGACACGTCCTGGTGGAGAAAGGGGCCAGGAGCCACAGGTGAGGGGCAGCACAGGGGTTAGAAGCACACGCCCTGGCCCCTGCAACTGTGTAGGGACCCCTGCTCTGCCCACTGAGATGCGATATTGACCTCTCTGAGCTTCCATTTTTCAGCTCTTAAATCCCTCTTCTAGGCTTTGAACTCATTCCAGGCTGTACTCCTAAAAGTGTGGCACACAGTAGGTGCTCACTGAAAGCTTACTGAATGCATGAATGCAGAGCAGGGTGTCTCTTCCATGGGCTTCCAGCCTGGGAGTCTACAATGAAGGCAGAATACTTTGCACATAGTAGGTACTCAAAAAGTATGTGTGTGTATGCATGTGTGCACATGTGTATGTATGTATCTGTGTCTCTGCGTTTATGTGTGTGCATGTATGCATATGTGCACCTGTGTGTTTGTGGTGTTTGTGTGTGCATGTGTGTATAATGCATGAGTGCATGCATGTTCCATGTGTGTGTGTGTTCAGTTGATGAATTTTGGCAACTGATGCTTCCAGGCAACATAGGGCTGCTGAGTCTCAAGCCCTGGGCCTCACCCCCACTTCCGCTGAGGCTAGAGCACCCCCCACTCTAGCAAGCTGAGGCTGAGGACCTGCCTTGGTCACTGCCTCAGGTGTCAGAAGGCAGTCCTCCATGCGCTGTGGTGAGGGAGTCAGGCTGGGGGACCCCCGGTCCCGTTTCTCAGTGCTGTGCTCCTTAGCAACCCGGGGATGGGTGTTCTGAAAGATCTGAACGATCAGGAGGTTGATGGGGAACATGAGGATAGAGCTCTCCAGGCCAATCATCACCTCCTGCCAAGTGAATTCAATCTTACCTGGGGAAAGGGAAGGAAGGGTTCAAAGGAGAGGCTACCGCTCAGAGCCCAGTCCCATCTGTCCCTTGTGGAAGGTGGCTGCGCAGCGAAGGGTTAACCCTGCCCAATGCCTGGGAGGTCACTGTTCAGACCTTGGAAGGTCCTGCCTGCTAAGAATGTCTTTGTTGGCCGGG